AACAATTACATATGCAGTACGTCAAAATTACCTAAGTACACGAGTGTACTATTTCTTTTATGGCTACTTCGCGTAATTGTATCAAAAGATCGTCTAGTTGTCCCGAAATCGTTTTAGAAGCGCTAGAATCAACACATTTTCTCTCAACCCTTATTTTTCTTCTGCGTTAATATGACTGAACGTAAGTATAACGCATTAAAAAAGCGTAATTATTTTTGGTAGCCTGGAAACGTAAATCCGAATAGAAACTTTATCATCGATTTTTCGATTTTTGGTACGGCAGAGAAAAGTTTGTTTTTTGACGCGACATCGCTAACTCTTGACTTCATGATTATTGTAACACTCATTCGCGCAAGTTGCAAATTTATATGAATGGTCTATTTGCGAGGAGTATACATAAATGAATCGCACTAGCTTTAATTTAACTTGACGAGGGCAGCTTTTCGGTGAAAAGTTCCGCGCCAAAATATCGCTATTAATTATCAACACGTCGCGTTGCTTAATTAACACGACGAAAATAATTAATTACGACTGTAAATCCAAGCGACGTCCGAGTCAGCACAGCACGCTTAAGCTTGCAGTGGAATTTTTTTTTTTTTTGTGTGAGTGCAAAAAAGTAATTTTAGTTTATATAGTATTTCAGTAGTTCCACTATTTTAAGTAGTGTTTTTTTTCAATAATTGGCACAAAGTGGCTATTGAGTAAAAAAACAGTAACTTATTTTTTTCGACAAAGTTGGTTAAATCATTGGTCATAGAATTATTGAAATATTGCTATGGTGCATGTTGTAAACGTGTAAAAATTTCATTATCATACTTGGGTTCAACGAAACGCAAAATTCGACGTACCAAAGCTACAAATGATGGTTATAACTCTCGAGGACAGACGTTAAATATAATACCGTGCCAGCTTGAATGAAATGTATAAACAATGTTTATTCCTGGCAGCTCACAAAGTCCCGCCAAAGCCACATTATTCTGGAGAAGAAGAGAAACTCGAGACTTACCTCAAACTTTGTAGCTCTGCAGTTTTGATGTGTCTATCGTCGCAAATATTAATTCGTTGGGGAGGGGTAATGTATTAGGTCGTGGAAGTTGTTTTGATTTATTAGTTTTCGAGGGAGTTCCTTTGTTGTTGATGAAACTTGTGTGTAAATAGAGTCATGATATTTAATTTATTTGTTTCATTGATGTTCTTTCCTTTTTTTTGTATTTTATTTTCTTTGTACCTCGACTTTGTTTTGGATAACAAAAGTATCGTCTTGTATTGTGCGATGTATTACATCAAATGAATATACAAGCAACGATGTTTGTGGTTACTATTTTTATTATTATTATCATTATTTTGATGATGAAAGTGATTATTACCCTTACTCTTATCAGTGTTATTATCTCCATTATTATCATGATCATCATCATCAATATTATAATCATTATTATCCTCAGAATTATCATCATCATAATCATCATAATCATTTCGATGACCATTAATATCATCATTCTTATGAGTATTAACACCATCATCATTATTATTATCATCATTATTATCATTATTAACATTGTTATCATCCTCATTATCATCATCATTATCATTATCATTATTATTGTCATCATCATTATCATCATTGTTATCATCATGGTCTCTATTATTATCATCATAATCATTATCATCACTATTTTTATCATCATTATTATTATGATTATTATTGTTATTATAATCTCTATTAGCTAAATCTCTATCATACAAATTATTGTTCTCATTATCATTGTCATCATCATACTTCCAATTATTATTATAATTATCAGAGACATCATAANTTTTTTTAATATCAGTAGTTATATGTTTTATAAAATTTAACTCCACACATAAGAACGTGCTACGGATTATACGTTTTTGTTTACCATGAGAAATTCAACGTCCTTATTTATTCTAACAAATTGCTCGTTTCACACATATCGACGTATATGATGTACAAATTTTATTATATTATTTATTTTGTGATATTTATGTATTGGCCGACTAAAAGTCCAATATTCTGTTTATGTATCATTATATGGTTACATTGATTTATTTAATACTGATATTTATTTCACTTGTCTTTTAGGTGTATTTTTATTATTTTAATTGTTACACACAGATATGAGCATTATTAATGTTTTTTAAATACATGGCAACACAGTCTTTCTCCCATAAAATTGTATGTACTTATTACTTGGTGAAAAATTTTTCTTTATTACTCCTTGTAAAACAGCACCAAGTGAAATTGTTTAAGAAACGCATTATATTTTTATGAAAGAATTTTTGAAAAATTTTTAAATAAAAAAATTGTCAACGTATAATCAAACGCGTAATATTGAACTTTTTTTTTGTCGGAAAAATTTTTTCAATGGTTTTACATTATGAGTAATGATAAAAAAAAATTTTTTCAACATCAATGAAGTAAGTAGGTATTACATTTTCGAAAACAATTTTTTTACAAAGCGTTTATAAAATAATGGTACTCGGTACGGTTGCGCATTCAATACAATTGTAATTCTACAGTCACGAGATGACCGACGTTCTCTATTTACATTTTTGAGGGATTCAATTGCAAATCCAACATAATTTTTTCTTATCGAATAATCTGTAAAAATTGCACTCGCCTAGCTAACAACACGTTATTTAAAACTCGCTCGCCAACACATTCTCATCGATCGAATATTCGTGAAAAAGCTCCTCCCTAAGCCACGCATGTATATGTATATAAAACGCAGTCGACTTTGAAATGAATCAATTTTCCGGCACGTTGACGTCGAAGCTTATCTACCGTAGCGCGAAAAAGCTCCCTCCTAATTGAGGGGAGGTGGAAGACGCTGGGGATTCCTCTTCGTTCCAACAATCGGGAGACGCTTACCTCGCGACACACGACACGAAAATTATTCATCAATCGCAGCAACCTTCTTCGTTCCCTACTCCAAGCCATATAATGCTACATCCTTCCTCTACAAAGTGCTTCTCGTCCGTATAGCTCTTAGCTTCCCTTTTGTGTTTTCGACGCCACTGATAGTAGGAGGGGAAAAATTAATGGTTTCGCCCGAGGGCTGTGCATCATTTTTACGACCCGATTTCCAAACTGCTCTCTCTCTCTCTCTCTCCCTCTTTGGATTATTTCAAAGGTTATTCGTGCGATGAATATTTCAACCTCGTGCTTCAAAAACTTATACCACGATAGATGGTGCAAAGAGGTTTCGACGATTAAGCCCCCCACCCGGAAATCGTTTTAATCGTGCGGAGTTTACGTAAGCCCCCATATGCTGCCTGCGGGGGTGACTTTTGAATTTTAAATTTCCACCACTATAATGCTCGATTTTTTTTTCGTCCTCAGTTCTGCAAACACAATTCTCTCATCTTTGAGCGTCAAAACGTTACGCAAGTAAAAAACTGGAATCGCGAATTTTCTGTTATTATTAATTGAGTTAGGCGTGTCTGGCAGTGAGATGGAGTAGAAAATTTTTATCGCTTACAATCATTACGCAACAACAGTGAGAATGGAAAATTGGAGTTCCTTAGGACCAAAAGAAAAACAAGTAACAACATTTAGTTGAAATGTATCATAGACAAGGGAGTATTAGTTTAGGAAATAAAAGTTAATTTTTTATCACAAGCACGTCAAATGATTTGTTGAAATAGAAGTGCTAACAAAAGCAATTTCTGAATTAACTTGACTACTTTATAAAACGGGTACTTACGTGTCTTTTGAGACATCCTAACTCATTATTTGCCCTTACAGTGTTAGTATTTGTATGTATTTGAAGATAATGATTGGTGTCGATACCAGAAAACTGATGCGATCAAATAAAAGGCATATACTTAAGCCACCCCATTGGTACTTGTTATTCAAGAACATCCAATTTTTCAATAATCCTTCACTGTTGGATCACTTTATTAAACGACGTATCGTCAATTCGAAAGCTCGTACGAGCGACACTTTTAAGCACGTGTGAACAAAAACACTCATACACTTGTACGTGGGTAGAGAGAAGAAGAAGAAAAAAAGAGCTTTTCTCCTTCAGAGAGACCGTACCGGTATCCAGCCACTTTCAGTGGCTTCGACCTCTCGCTTTTATATTTTTATTTTTCCTCCCAACGTCGCCCGCTCGTTTTTCTCCCCTCTTTTTTTTCATTCTTCTCCCGCGTGTATACGTATGTACCCTCTCAACGGGTGTTCCCACCGTACGTCACCTTCGAGTCTCTCTTGGCTCGTATTCTTCTTTTTTTAACTCTTATACCGACACTTTTTTTTCGTTTCTGCATTCACGAGTCCCGACTTTGAGCTTAAACACCAGAGGCAGGCTGACCTCGGTGATCCTCCCTTTTTTTTTCGTGTTGGCCATTACATCGAAACAACGGCACCGCCAACGCGTCTTTTACCCTCCCCCTTCCAAAAAAGCAGGGGCGAGAATAAGCTTTTTTTCCTCAACCCGTGTAAACCTTCTTCCTTTTGATTCACATCAACTTTGTCGCTCTGAATTCGTTTTTCCGCTTTTTAACACACGTGGCATCAAAATTCGCAAAAAAGCACACCTGCTACTGTTGGTACATAAAATTTTAAGCTGAAAACAACCATCAGTAACTAGAATCACGTTAGGTATACATGTATATATATCGGTGTATCGCCGACCCAATACATTACCAAGAGAAAAAACAAACAAACTCATCGCCCCTTCGACGCTGGAGCACATCAATCTTGTCGAAAAAAAAAAAAAAAAAAAAACGATACCATTTGTCTATCGGCGATCCCCGCAGCAAGGACACACCAGACTAATAAACAACGAGCCGATCGATTGATCTTCCGGGACTCCCTCGTAGTCGTCTTTGCTGTGTATGGTCGAAAGAGACGTGTACGTGTCCCTCAGATGGTGAGATAGTAGGCCCGTGGTCGGCCGGTCGACGACAGCGTCGGACTGACGACGATGCCTGTGGGCGGGTTGTAGCGCAGCGTCCAGCGCGGCGCCGTGTACATGCGTCATCTGTACGGCTCGTGGCGTTTCTTGCACTTTTCGCGTGCTATGTAGCACAGGGCTATCGTTATCAGGATCGTTATCGTTATACCCATGCCAACGCACGTCCAGATTATCGTCTCGTTGATGCCACTTCGGCTGCGACCTGGTCGACGGAAGCGGAAAACAAAAACAAAACACAACAAACATACATTTTATTTGTGCGTCAGAAATTTGGGTAGTCTGGGGTTACTTTTTTGGCTGCTGAAGGGAGTTTTTGGAAATCGACAAGTTTGATGCGGCAACAGTCTTTCAGGTATTGTTGGCTGTGGCTTCTACACGCAAGTAGATGCCTGTCTTGTTTGGTCGGACAATATATACTTGTAGTTAAAGTGTTGTTTGTTTTGATAAAAATTTGTCTTTTTTTGTATACTTTTCTGTATTTCCTATTTACTTTTATGCCGTTTGAATAAGTACGCGATCGTTTCATAAGTTGAGTATAGTGATGTGTTATATAGTAATTGAAGCGAATGTAATGCCTTTTTAAAGTTGCGTAAAAGTTATACGGTACCTGCATACGTGTATTTTTCGTCACAAAAAAATAAACTTATAAAAAAAGAAGAAACAATTGTTTATTTTCTAAATAAAGCGGTTTTTAAGCGAATGTCTGACTATATCGGTCTTTTTCTACTTACTGGACAACGTATGTTTGTAATTGTATGAGGCATGAAATATTGTTTGTTTTGTTAAGGTTTAGTGTTTTTAATTATACTTTTCTGTTTTTTTAATTTACTTTCATACCGTTTGAATGAGTACGCGATCGTTTGACAAGTTGAGCGTAGTGATGTGATCTATATATGTTGAAGTAAATATATAATGCCTTTTTAAAGTTTGGTAAGTTATAAGGTACCTATTTGCATTTTTTCTTTGTCACAAATAAATAAACTTATAGAAAAAGAAGAAACAACTGATTATTTTCTGAATAAAGCGATTTTGTAGTGAATGCCTGACCATGTTGGCCTTGTTCTACTGACCAGACAATGTATATTTGTAATTGTATAGTGCATGAAGTACTGTTTGTTTGGAAGAAAGTTTTGTACTTTTGTGAGTACATTTTGTTTTCTGTTTTACTTTCATGCCGTTTGAGTACGCGATTGTTTGCCAAGTTGAATATATAACAGTGCTGCGGTTTGTAGCTGTTTACGTAAATGTATTGCCTTTTTAAAGTTGAATAAGTTATAAGGGACCTACTCACATGATTTTTTTTCTTTCTTTAATAATAAATGAATGAATGTATTGAAAAAGGGAGAAAGAAGTGTTTTTTGACTGAAAAAAGCAATTTTTAAGCGAATGTCTGACCATATCGGTCTTCTTCTACTTGATGTGCGCACTCACTGTTTTCAAAGGATTATAGACACTTATAGATTTAGAATAGAACTGGTGAGTGACAGTACGTTACTATTATTGGTACAAAAAGGCGCTTCCACAAATTTTTTGCCACTTTTTTAAACGAAACGTTATCTATAAGTGTCTATATACGTTACCAACATTAAATTTAATTTGTTGCATCACGTGTGAATAAGTATAAAACTATTCTCTATAACATGGCACAACCTTAACTCTGTACTTTAGCAGCATTTGGCTGAAGCTCTACTTATGTATATACTAATTGAATTATTTTCATTTTCGAAACAAAAACCGAATAATTTTACTATCCACGTCAGAGTATCAACGGTTTACAATATTGTAAAATAAGATTACCTTTGCAATATTATAACGTCTATAAATAATATTTCCAATAGTTGTGATTATTGGTCGTACACATTTTTTTTGTGTTTTCCCCCATTTCCTCTCTACACTTACTCGTACAAGAGAAAAAACATGCATCCCGCGATCGCTAAAATTTAACGTGACGCAAAGTTCTACCTTTTTTCCCACAAACTCAGGAAAAAAAGGACATGGTACAGGGATCATAGGTGTTTGCCCAGCCAAAGTTTGCCGAGGCGCGCACACGTCCACAAAAAAACCGATAGATTGGCTCGGCGACTTTTTGCCGACTATACCTCGTGAACTTTACTTAATTGGCTCCCTAAGCGGCCTTTTTGCGAAATCGCTCTTTACGCGGTTTTTACATTATACTCGTCGATTAACGGGCCACCATTTCGTACACGTACATCCCCCGCTGAGAGCAAGAGGGAGCTCTTTAAATGGAGCTTTATTTTGCCCTCCCCTGGGAGTGGAAAGCTTTTAATACCAGCTGTTCTCCCGGGGGGGTTCTTACTTTTGTTCCGAGCCGAACTTATCACGGGCAATTATTTTTCATCAGCCACTCGCGAGCGAAATCTTTTATGTACGGAGGGTGAAGATCAAAGTGTGGAAAAATTTTGGTAGTCTTGGCTTTTCGTGTGAAAGGCTTTTATTCTTTATTTTCATTTTTTAATACCTAAGGCACGATAAATTGAAAAAGGAATTGCCGTGTGTCGCCAGCACAAGTATCAGGCCCGAGGGACTCCTTGTGCTTGCCCTGGTTGGACGCGCACCAGGTGCCAACTCTATTTTCCCCACTGAGCAAACAGTGTACATATTTAAAGGTAAAAAAAGCCCAAAGTAGGAAAATTGTATTTTTCACTCAGCATCCGTGATGTTCCTTTTTGTTTGTTTTGATGGTTGTGTGATGAGAAAGCAAATACGAGAACCAATGTTGAAATATTGTTGTTATTTGCTAACATTACGAAATCAATGGAATTTATTGTTAAAATAAGAAAAAGCACCGATATTATAACACCATTTGGTTGTCGTAGTTCGTATGATTCGAAGCGTTTGTGTACCCAATCCTAAATTCATAAAATAATTCATCAAAAATTAATACGCACGACGCATCCATGGTGAAAAACACATAAATGTGACTCAAATTTTATCGTTATTTAATGATTAGCATTGCGTATAAGAAAACTCGTTAATTTCGCCATATCCCAGGAATACACAGCTGGAGAACCGAGCTATTAATTATCGTTACCCGTGAAAAAAAAGAGCTTGCAAAAAAAAAATCAGAGCGTTAAGCGATAAATGTGGTCGCAATCATTTGATGTTTACGAGATTTTGGGGGGATTTTTTTGGCGTGAAACCCACCCTCCAGTTCCTGACGAGCAAACGGAGGAGCAAAAAATATACTCGATGGCTCCCACGGGCTCGTTAAACGTAAATTGCCGGCGGATGAGTTTCGTGTTCGCGCGATGTGGCATTTACGAGGTACGGCGTACAAGTTTTTCACCCGTTCATGCATATACCAACGTTTTGCGGTGTTTTGTTTTTGTGCGAAGATTTGAAAAAAGCTTATTCTGCGAATTACAGGGCTACGAGTAATGAATTTTGCTCAGTGAACATACGGGCATGGAAAAAAATATGATACTTTTTCAATTTTTTTTTGCAGTATAATTTTTGCTACAATGGAAATGCATTATTGCTTATGAAAAAATCTTCTTTTAAATACTGCCTGTATGACGGTACTTGTCAAAATTTTTTTCGAAAAAAAATAATGCATTGCAAATTGAAAGATGAAATAATTCAGACCAAAAAAAAAATAAAAATGTTTGAAAAAGTACTTGAATATTTTATTTGAACTACATTGCGATAAAATTTAACAATAAAAATGTATTGCACTTGAAAAAAAAGATTTTCTTAATATCGTAGTGTCAGCTTGTGACGAATGAAAAATTTTTCAAAAAAAAGAAGCTCTTTGTCCACTAAAAGTCTTTAAAAATCGAGTGAGTTTTTTATTTTATTACATGATATTATAACGAAAAAAATAAAAGTGGACAAAAATTCCAATTTGTTTTTAAACAATGCAGTGAACAATTTTTCAAGTCGTTGCTTTCAAATTTGATGTAAAAAAAGGGGAAATCGTTTAGTACAGAACTTCAAACTTTACATTTTGTGAATTTCAACAAGTTTTAATAACGGACGATGGGCCAAGGAAGATATGTAGGTCGCGCATGTTTGCTCGGAAAAAGAGAGTGAAATCGGGGAAAAAGGCGAATATTTGCGTATTCGCGAAACATTTTCGGAGTTAACTCGTGCTTTACTTAAAACTTTACTTGATAATCCTTTGAACGAAATACAGCTAAGTAATCGTTTCGTAGTTTGAATTTAAAGTGATCACAAATATTTTTTGGGGAGTACGTAGTTTTACAAAATACAACAGATTATCCATTGAAAAGCGTGTCAAAATTTTCACGTTTCATCGTATTTACTCCCAAGCAATCAGCAGTACGCATAAACAAACCAAACTGCTGCTCTCTTGGACAACATATTCCAAAGTTAAAAAAAAGTCGAAGCACAGCTACGAGTCGAGTCGTTATCATATCGTTTATAAAGTGATAAAAACGTGCACTTTCGAACAAGCGAACAACATAAAACGTGCAAACTAACGCAGTCGATTTACAGTACACGAAAAATCTATATCCATATGCGCCAATGCAAAGCCAGAGCAATAAATATAAGTACATGCAAAATACTGTCAAGTTGAAGTTTCATATACCTGTCAAGTCGTCAAACTTGTTGTTGCGGGCCAGGGTTGGGTAGTAGGTGGTCACGGGGGCTTTCGCGTAAGCGTCCGACTCAGCGGCCGACGGCAACCGGTCCTTCCAAGAGCACACACACATTGTATATACTTACGCACCCAAGGGAATTGCAGCGAAAATTTTTGCGAGAGAAAAAAAAAATCGAAGCTCGGGATAGATGGACAAACGAAATAACAACACGAGCGCTTTTCGCTCTCTGTGTGCATACATGTATACGTGATTGTGAAATACCTTTCTCTTCGCGCCCGCCCTCCTTAGCTCCCGTGCGTTTCATCGCCATTCCGGAGATTCTTGTCCTCCGTGACATTCCGGGCGTTTCGTTTTTTCTATTCTCGTTTCGAATTAAATTTCCCCGCTCAAGAGAAAAAGACAAATAACGGAATGAAACCGGAGTAGTTTTTCCTGCTGAGAATCGTAAACTAGTCCTTCCGGCGACTCATTGTACATCGGCCATGGGTGCACGGGACAGCTACTCTGATTGAAGAATTGAGGGGTTCGCTTGTCCTGTCTCTCTTTGGTGGGCACGCGGATCGGTTTTTTTTACAAAAAAAATATACAGGTACCTACACGTCACGGAGTCAACGATACGGTCATTGCACGACGGAAAACGCGTTCTTCTCATTTTTCGTTCAAAAAATATTTCTGTTTAGTTAACGGGCAGAAATTTTTAAAAGTCCTTAAGTTTATACGACAGTAATTACTGATTTTCTACCGTAGTATAAGGTGAGAAAAGTGATTCAATTATTATTAATCTTTTATTGAAACAGTAATTTTTTTAAAGAATACATCACGTCTTAAAATAGGTTTTTACAAAAATCAACGGCATTAAATTAAGTAGGATGAATTTAAATGAAATTAGTAATTAATATAAAAAAGATCTAAAAGCGATACCAATTGATTTATTTGTATTTTTAAAATCAACAACAAGACGAAAACTATATTTTTTGTGAGTTGATGGCAGTTAACAATTTTTTATTGTTTAATTTTATTTTGCGATTTTAGAATACATCTAAGACAATGCACAGCATAAAAATGTGTATAAGCGATACTAAACGTAGTTGCAATAACTGATTTGAAAAAAAATAGTATTCTAGATCTCGAAAGAATTTTCAAAGTCTTTTATTCAATGTATTTCAGCTGGTGCAAAACGACCAAAACTAATGGTGATCATTTTAATCAACAGTAGTTGATACGATTGATCCAATGGTCATTCGCTTGACAAACACACACACAGGTGGGAGTGCCCATGCATGGAACATCCGAGTTTCAATTGCATTGGATAACTAGTACAGTTACTCCATGGAACGATTGATCGTTTTTGCGCAATCAATGACATTGCCGACGAAAAGGACGACCGGGATAACCTATTTTCAACCCATTGGACAACGAGATAATTTTTAACTCCACGCGCCAACACTAAAATCATACTCACAGCCCCAATTACCTCGCACTTTTATCCCGCGTTAGCGTTAATTAATTTTCCATCCAGTTTGAAGTTTCAAAATTTCCTCCCTACATTGTACGAGTAAACATATAGTATACCTTTTCAACGAATTAACCCAGGCAAGCAAAGACCGGTAGTATATAGGTAATTCGGCGCTAATCCACTTTCAGCTCCGCATAATCGGTACAGGGCACTCCCTGTTACATTTACTCGCTAATTTTGGTCCTTTTTCCCCCACAGCTCCCGTATAACACAATAGACCACGCGCAAAACCATCACTCGCTATTTACTCGGTATCTCATTAAAAGTTCAAGTAAACACGGCTTTCCCTTTTCGATTCGACGCAGCTTACGAGCTGCCAAACTACCGATACACGCTGTTATCCCCAATCCGTACCACAGTCAGATGATTGCACGGTTTCATTCGTGCTTTTCACGACCACAATTGATCGGAACAGAGAATTCACATGTATGCATATACATAGAAAACATATACATGTACACGCCAATAGCGTGATAGTCGTGGCAGTCGCGATGTGTAAAAAAACAAAAAAAAAAAAAAAACAAATAACCATTCATCAGTGTAATAAAGGTTTGACACTCTGGAACTTGACGCTTTTGATTTTCAATAACAAAAAAATCCATCGAAACACCTTACGGGTCAGTCATTTTGCGTGGAGGGAGGAAAAAAAGGGAAAGGGGAGTTATCAATGTCAACAGCACACCTGTCTCTTCCTGTCTCGTTGGAAAACTAATAAAAAGTGCGCTCGCGTCCTCTTTTCTTTCGACTCGCGTACGTGTACGTACGGTACGTGTCAAAACGAGACTTGCCGGTGACCCGTAAGGGGTTTTTTTCCGCGACTCGTACGGGAGAGAACGAAAACAAAGGCTGACGGGACTGCCACGCGCAGACATACACACACACACACAAAGTGTACGGCAAATCGTATACGTTAGGTGTACATACAATACGCGTGCACGTCAACGACATCAATCACAGCTAACAATTTAGGGGACAGATCTATAGTGATGCGGAATTTTGAGTTTTTCCAGAAAATCATCCCTTGAAAGATAATGAAGCTTTTGTTTTTTCCAAGCTCTCGAACCAGGCTTTTCCGGCATGAAAATTAGCAATGTTGGAATGAACAAAGGTTACGGGGTAAAACCAAGAAAAAAATTTTTTCCTTCGGTTCGATCAAACTCACCGAGTTCGAAAGATAGTTTTAATCTTGGCAAAGCCTTTGTTTTGTAACTCAGCAAAAAGTCGCGTTCGAGTGCTTTTTCACTCGCTTCTTTTTCAAATTTTGTATCCAATTTAGATTAAATAAATTAAAAAAAAACAAGAGCAACAAAAACTCAATGTACTTTCCAACCTCACTACGGATGACGTTTGCACGCCTCACGCATACACGTACACACAATACATGAAGAGAGTAAAGGAAATCAGTATACATATAACAGAGAGCTAAACAAATAAAAATGATGTACACACGCCCACACAGGGAGAGGGAGACACAGAAGTAAAACAAACATATGAAAAAAAAGGCCCCAAGGCTCTCTTGTGCACGCGCCAACGTAATACATACCATTGTGCGAGGAGTTGTAAACGCCACCCCCTTTACCGGCAACGCGACCACCGACTGGCATTGTTGTGTCTGCTACCTTGTCCGCCCCCTCCTCCTTCTCGTCTTCCTTGCATCCACGACCACCGCCACCACCACCACCGCGTCACGATGTGTCACCTGCAAAAACAACAGTTGGCGTTCATTAATGTTAAAAATGCAGTACGAAAGCTCCGGATATCGTTGAATGAAATTTTTTTCCTCTGCTGCGCTAAAAAGGAAATGTGTTTACTTTTCTTTTTCTTTTTTTTCTTTCTCATCGTGCATGTATGTAACTGCGTATAAAAGGGACCTCGAGACATCGAGTATTCGATACAGACCATTAAAAAGTATCAGAAAAGTTTTTAATCATGAGAAATATAATTAAAATATAAAAAATCATTGTAGGTCACTAAATAACAGATAATTTTGTGTAAAAATTGAACTGTTATTTATCATGACTGAATCTCTATATAAATCCACACAACGATTACACGATAAATAATATATATATACTAATTTTGGACCATTTATTTCCATTTGCCAATATATTCGGGTAAGTTCAACTTGTAACACGGAGTCAATACCTTTGACACTCATTTTCAGCCAGTTGATGATAGGCACCGCAAGAATAACCTCAACGAGTGAGTGATGGATCATCGTTCACTTCTCAGACATAGTTAGCTCCGTCAATGTTTGGTTCATATAGACTCATACAGGGAGCTAATGAGTGTTCCAGTAATTGCTGAGCCACCCCGTTATTGGCACTAAATAATAGATGGGATGATTGGAGCACGCGAAAACTCATATTGGGAGCTTAATTTAAGATATTCGCTTCGTGGGAGCTTTCATCCGTTGGATCGATAATCCACGTGGTTTAGTGTATTAAAGTTGAGACACCAAAAATGATAAGCTCACATGAACTCCTTAGACCAAAAAAGTGCCTCCTTTAACATCCTGCACTTAAAATAACGTGGGTAAAGCCCTGATAAGAGCTTTTCTTTGCACGAGGTGTCGATATGCTTTATCTCGTAAAGTGCGCAGTATTACCTACTCCCTTACGCATGAGGAGTATTTTTCCGACTCACGCGTGTGCGAGTCAAAAGCACGCGAGCTCAATAAAACCATATGAATCAGTTCTGCTTCGATGAATCCAGAGAATTCAATACATCGTACAGGAGTAGAAGCTCAGCGGACGAGGTAACTATTGATTTTTCGAGTAAGCTTGGGGCTTCGTTGGAATTTATGCACTCTCTCGTTGAAATATATTTTACGGGTCTAGTTCTTTGGTTTTTTTTTTTTTTTTTTTTTTTTCTTAAATGCGCTTTAGAGGAAGATCTTTGGCTCTTATTGCGAAAATTTTTCTTTATATTAAATTCGTAGTAGAAATATAATGGATTGATTTTTTTTATTTAAATAAGCTCAATTGAAAGCTTCACAATCAGAATCAAGTTTTTTTTGTTGGTAATAAAAAAAGAGGAAGAGAGAATTCAATTATTCTATTTATCGATGCGTAAAGGACAATTTTAACACACGAGTCGACACGTTTTGGAATACGTTTACAGTATGCAAATTTTTACATTTCACTTAAAATGTGATCAAATTTTTCATACGAGTGCAAAAAAGGCATCAAATAAAAAATTGGAATGTGATGATTTAAATTTTTCACAATTCCAAGAGAGTATTAAAAATTAAAAGTAACATTTTTCTAAAGAAATTTTTGAAATGAATGAAAAAAAAAAAAACATGACTTGTCAAAATGTTTCCATGGTTATTAAAAAACGATTACTTTATTAGAAATGCCGTGAGAAATAAAAAAAAGGCACTACATACATGTATGTTAAAATACATCCCTAGCGTCACGTTGGCAAGACAAAAGACACAACTATTCTGATGGTGGACGAAAAACATCTGTTTGAAATGTCGTCAAAATCACCAATTTTCCGTAGACACACCGATGAGGAACAACAGTTGCAAAACCACCACCCCTACAAATCCCCCGAGGCCCTAATCCCGTCTGCCCATGCGAAATCACGCTCGTAAGCATATTATACCCATCGGAAAAAGCAAACGCGCAAATCCTATACACGACGACGACCCGAAACCCACGCGAGAGCGATAAAGCACGATCTCATTCCTGATGCATGTGGTCCGAAAAGGGGGGCCGAGAAAAAGCCAAGAGACAGGCCGTGTCAGCTGGACAAACAAAGTTGACCGACCGTAGCTGCAAAAAGCGCATCGGCTGGAGTGGTCGAGCTGAACTCCCGGAGATCCCCCGCGAGGCTGGGCAGTGTTATTTTGCCGCCGATCATTCCAGCCTGACAATGACACTCTGGAATTCACTCCATAAGCCCAATTGGTCGATCGATTATTGCCCCGCGTAAATAACGGCGCACTTGCTTCCAGCGAGGGGAGCGTCCACTGGCGAGGGTATATGAAACAGGAATAGGTGTTTTAAGGCTCATGAGGCGTGGGTACTTTTGGATTGTTTCAGTTTAATTAATTAAATATTGGCTCGATAAATGGTATGGACGGATATGGGTATGTGGTGTCCGCGGTCTTGATTAAATATACCCCGAGGGACGATCGAACCTATTCATCACGATTTTATGGTTGATTAACTAATATTTCGTTAAAACACGACCAACATTCCATTATTGGATGGATATTTTATAATTAATTAGTTTTATTTATTAAAAACCGCTTTATTTCTCGTAAATAAGAGGGGGACTCGTTGAGAGCCGTGCGTCTGACTATAGGCTGACCTTTACTACTTTAACCGGACAGAAGAAACAAGACAATACCAACGACACTGTGGAAACGGCGCGCACGACATGCTCCTGGTTTTTTACGCATTACTCACTCTTGTTGACGATGCACCCACCCTTTCTTTTGGGTGAAATAAATAAGTAAACTCGGTAAATGCTTTAAAGGCAATAGAAATAAACATGGCAACCGTGTTACATCAGTACCGCGCGTTCGGAGGCTAGCCGAGATTCAATTTGGAATTCAATGGTGATTGAATTTGTGTTTTACTAAAACATATCTAAATTTACATTAGTCTAATACATATTTTGAAAACTTTCTCTAAAAAAGGCCAACGCGTCGTACCAACTTTGAGAAAGAAGTATCACTTCACAATCATGAAATGACATTACACTCGGTTTTTTTATTTTTAATAATACATTACTCTCGTCACTTTTAGACCCAACTTTGGACATTTATAAAATTTCACACAGAATCCCGGAGTTAGTATCGGAAACTGGTCGTACAACTTTGGAAGCTCTCAATAGTCGTTACCTGCGGCTTTGCCGGGAGTTATAGTAATAGAACTGTTTGATTCCTGATATACATATATATCCGCGCTTTGGTAAAGAAATAAAATGTCTCGATATAAGTTCACGAAATCTCTTTATTTGCTTCAATGTCGAATTATCTGGTATAAATCCTTATTCACGAGTAAAAAAAATTTGTTTGATCACGGATAATCGCATCACAATAATAAATGGAAAAAAAAATTATTGTCACTTTTTTAATAGTAGTTTTTACCACGAAAAATCAAGATTTTGAATCGTGGTATATGCAATTTTTTGCAGCTCTTTAGCAAGACACCCAACACCTATATTTTTGTACTTTTTCTTTTCACAAGCTCTAAAGCTACACTGCACTGTAACTCGTGGCCCGATGCATTGTTTTTATCCGAGAAAAGTATATCGACAACTGTATTATGCTGCACTTTGATATTTCATTTAAGTCTGTTCTGTTTTCGTGTTTCATAAAAAAAACTAGAAAAAAAATGTTCTTTCACAAGCATAGTGAAAAAAAGCGTCGCTTCTAAAAAAAAACCACACGTTCTCACTCCCAGCTCGGTACAATGTCAGCGCAACGAAAAAAAAAACAAAGGAAGAAGCGCCCCAAAGCTCCAGACTCAGCACCAGAATTAAAAATCCCGCCCGTGTAATCAGCAGTAAAGCCTCCACAGCTTGTACACGTATACCCACGATATTCCCGAGATCTCTTGTAAAAAGAATCCTCATTTATTTACCCATCCACGGAATCACCATGCAAGTATACGTGTAAGCGAATGCACAGAGTTGTGGCGCAACTTGGAGCATACAGTTCGCGCTTACTTACTCGAGTGCTAAACTTTATCACCCCCCCCCCCCACGAACTTTTCCCTTTATGTATCGTCACGAGAGAGCCGGGCGATAATTTCCAACTCCCCACCCCTTCTCGCGCGACGTTAATTGAATTTACACCCCCAGCGGTTTTCTATACGCGCTCCACGAAAAGCATCTGTAGTCGAGCTCTCTCTCACTCAGCCCTTCCGCGGTACACAATTTCAGCGAGAGGACCCATTGTTCGAAAATGCGGGACGAGAGCGCTAAAGGGGCGCGGCCGTCCGTGAGGTGCGCGAGTGCGACGGCGAGGTGAAAATCACCCGAGGTGTTTCAGCGCGAGCCCAACGTCAGTGTACAAGGTGGTATGAAGTTAAGTGGTCACTCGCGAGAGGGGTGCTCTAAGAGCTTTCCCGGTGGCGATGGTAAAGGGAGTATCGGGTGTATACGTAGGGGCTGGGATGAACCGTTCGACCCCTCCCCACGCCATACTGTTAGGTCCCTGATATCGTGAATACAAATCTCTATGGGCGTTGGGGAGTTTGTGGTGGTGACGAACATATCATAAAGGGGGAAAAGGAAAGAAATGTCACTACTTTCGAGCTCTGCTGCGGTCATTGGAGCAGAGTCATCTATTTTTATTTGCAGTTCAAACGACATTTGGGGAGGAACTCGAGTAAACTGCGGCGCATCGGTTGCAGTTTTAAACGACTCGATTCGTTCGAAAAATATTTGCTCGGGCGTCGAGCGGAGGAAATTAGAGGTCGACTCGATAGTGGTCCTTCCTTTTCTCGAGGACTCGTTGGCAGGGGTAAAAAATGCTATGGTCGTAATGTGCGGTGATTTTGGTCTTCGTGGTGTTTGCTGAGTTTATGCGAGACCTGGAAAGTGCACTGTTAATTGGTTGTAGTTTTTACAATCGCCGTGA